TGTGGACTTCAACTCCCATGCTGGCTGGGGAATTCTGGGAGTTGAAGTCCACTCATCTTAATGTGGCCACGTTTGGACAACACTGGCCTAGGGAGACAAATAGGCAGCTTGTTTGTGAGGATGAGAGACAGTATCTTATTCTGAGCCAGATTATTGCTCCATCTGTTGTCTGTCCTGGCTGGGCACTGGTTCTCCAGGGTTTCAAGCAGGAGTCCTTCCCAGCCCTGTGTGGTAATGATGGGGATTGAACCTGGAAAGTATAAAGCCATGAAACAAAGGCAAGAAGAACCCTCAGAGATATCAAAGGAGATCTAATTAGAAGAGCAGAGAAGTTGTTGTAGGTCTTAGGTGAGGCATATCTATAGGTCAAAGGCAGCAAGAAGGCAACACACATGCCCTGAGATACTAGCATATTCCCAAATATAGGTGCTTGGCTCAGATTCATCACATACAGTGATTCTTTTACATTTATTGCTTTCTATGTCAGAGCAATACTCAAATATACTGTTGGCTATATATGTCTTTGGTAAAATTAATATAGGTATACACACACACACAAACTATAGAAGCATATCTTTCCCAGCCTGGTATCCTCTAGATATATTGGACTACAGTGTCCATAATTCCTGCTTATCTTGCTGGCTATGGATATTGGACATAATAGTCAAACTCACTTGTGGGTATTGCACTGGGAAAGACTGGTATAATTTTTTTCCTAAGTGGGGAAAAAGTCATCATATTGTATACCCAAATGGTCCTCATAGACTTTCCAAAGCAGGATCCTGCCTTTTCTCATTGATTGGCACATCTACCCATTTATTAACTAAGTATCCGTTTCATAGCCAACTATCCATTCATGCTGTTCAGGATCTGTGGTTTCCAGCCAGTTTTATCTTTGTGAGCTTTGCAATTGAGTAGGAATTTGAATCTGGATCTAATCAGTCCTCTTCCACCACTCTGTTGCTACTCGTCAAGCTGTCTTAAGAGATGTGAAAATGAGTTACCACCAGAGAAGAAATAAATGTGTGAATTTAAGGCATAATCAACCGACTATGTTTTTCTTAATTGTTAATTCAAAACGACTCCAAGAATTTAATGAACAATTTCTGGATGGAGGGAAGATAGAACGGCAGTGTGAGAGATTTTTCTGCTTGTTCACTCCTTGCAATTTTTGAGTTCCTGCCACCCATATATTACGGATATGGACTTGCACAGGAGTTTAGAAATAATCTCTACATTTTTCTTCACATCCTGAATTCATTCGTGGCAGGGAAGCAGAATGCTGGGAATATCTTAAGGCCAGCTTGTTGCTATATAATAGGAAATCATAACATAAACTTGATTTTTTAAAGATGTAACAGTTGTGATACATTATCTGCTCTTTTTAATATTGAAGGACACTGGATTTGCACATTCAGTGCTGCTCTGGAATGTGGAATGCTTTTTACAGCTGTCACATTTTAGCTGTATGCTTTTTTTTTTTTTTACATTAGTTAAGACGCTTCAGTGCAGTGCTCTTAAGCATTACAAGGTCTAAATGGGGGTATCAAAGTTTTTACATCTTTACATTTACTGAATTTATATCTGCAAACTGTGTACTGTAATTGCTGGTGCATGTGGCAGTAACATTTGAATAAGTAACCAATGGCTTTCAGCATGTTCTCTAGGTCTGCATGCAGGCAGAATCAATTAAGGAACTATAAGTATCAGGTTATCGTTTGTTATAGTTCCTTAACTGAATCAATTCAAATCAGTTCTTTGTTCTTACATGTAGCCCTGGGAGCTAAGCAAAATTAATCAACATATTATGGGACCCAAAATTACCTACATAATGTCTATTTCCTCTGTACAAGACAGGGCAAAAGAATTGAGCAGGTTCTGAAAAGTCTTAAAAAAAAAGACTTAGCCAATCTTAAGAATTGTAATACATTCATTTATTACGGAAGCTCTCTCCAGAGAAAGTTAACCATGTGTAACGTGTCCTATTGCTTCCACTGAGACTTAAAATATCACACCCCTCTGATGCAAAAATTTGTATAAACATGCACACTTTACATTTACACAGTGGCCATAAAGTTGCAACAGGAAGTGACTTATCATACTATAGGGCATTGTTTCTCAACCTTGGCAACTTTAAGATGCGTGGACTTCAATACTGGCTGGGGAATTCTGGGAGTTGAAGTCCACATATCTTAAAGTTGCCAAGGTTAAGAAACACTGCTGTAGGGAATACCCCTTTGAGATGATCCCAGGTTTCTGTACTTTATGCATTTGGTCGTATTAAAAAACATCTGTTGTTTAAATTAGTCCCAAGAGTGAAACATTTTAACAAGGTTAGGTAGGATATATAATTTTCCCCCTGCAAAGCTGCATATCTTCAAAGGAAGAAGGTCTTTCTGTGTTTTATGGGAGAATCCCAGAGGGGCAGGACTAGGGGCTAAGTTGCAGAAGAATTTGCTGTGATTGAGTGAAACTATTATTAGAAGAGAATCATGTCATGTAGAGGGTGGGAGTAGAGAGAAAGGTATTCTATATACTGTTCCATTTTCCAAGAAGGCTTTCAAGAAAAGCCTGGCTCCAAATACCTTGAGTCAGTGCAACTTTCCTCCTTAAAATTGGTTAAAACAAGCAAAATAAATTACCTTTCACATTCAGGCCTGCATTCCCCAGAGGGATCAGCAGATCTGTATGTAGTCTTGTAAAAGCAGTGGTAGTCATAAACTGTCTAGGATCTGGGAGGACACAGAGAGTATTTTTTGGAGCAAAATTGCTTGCAGAGATCTGCCTTGGCATTTGTCCATAAGAGGGTAGCCCAATATAGTCAATGGGATTTACTTCAAAGATGGAATTGGCCCCATTTGTAATATGAATTCCTGTCTGGTATGCAGCAGCAGCGTTTGGTACGTCTTATTTATTTATTTAGTAAAATGATACTATCTACCTAAGCTAGTAAGCTTTTCCTTCAG